TGCAATGTGCAGATGACACAACCTTGCTTGCTGAATTACTTGAAGTGCTTACTGATAAAGATCAGAAACTACAGTCATCAGTATGGATTGCACCTCAACATAGAGAAAACAGAAATCCTCACAAGTGGACCAATCAGCAACATCACAATAAGTGGAGAAAAAATTGAAGTTGTCAGATTTCATTTTACTTGGATCCATAGTCAGTGCTGCTGCATTGAAGCAGCAGTCAGGAAATAGATGTATTGCAGTGGGAAAATCTGCTACAAAAGACCTCTTTAAAGTGTTAAGAAGCAGAAGATGTTTCTTCAAAGACTAAGGTGTACCTGACTCAAACCCTGTTATTCTCAGTCACCTCATATGCATGTGAAAGCTGGACAATGAATAAAGAAGACCATAGAAGAGTTGATACCTTTGAATTGTGGTGTTGGCAAAAAATACTGAAGATACCATGGACTGCCAGAAGAATGACCAAATGAATTAACTCATTGCTTAGATTTAATAGTTTTTAGCATTTAACTGTATTTGCTTTATCTCTTTATGTGGGTGTTTTGTTGTTGAGTTTGTGTTTTTGCTGGGCCATATAAAAATATCTGTGAGACATCTTAACTCTTCACTTCTAAAAACATCAAGCATATCCCAAGAATGACATCCTCCAAATCATCATATCTAAATAAGTGTAATTTGCCACTATCATGTTAAATACCCACTAAGTGTTTAGAGTTTTTCCAGATGTCTTCAGAGCATCATTTTAGTTGCTTCCCCATCTACAAAGAGCAGGATCTAATCAAGGTTCATACGTTGCAAATTTTTAAGGGTCCCTAACTTCTCTTTCCTACCATTACAATAACTTTTCAATTTGAAGAGACTTGGCTAGTTCTTGTTGTTGTTGTTATGTGCTGTTGAGTTGGATCTGAATCATAGCGACCCCTCCTTGGGTTTCCGAGGCAGTATCACTACGGAAGTAGATTGCCCAACCTTCCTTCCGAGGAGTAGCTGGTGGGTTTGAACCACCAGCCTTCTGGTTAGCAGTCAAGTGTCTTAGGCACTAAGCTACCAGAGCTCCCTTGGCCATTTCTAGAAAGTTTTATTTTGTGGGAATTATTCATTTGGTTTCTTGAAGTGCCGTTAAACATTTTCTTCTGCCTTCATTTCCTGTTTCCTGTAAATTGAAACTAGGTATAATGGCTTGATTAAATTTAGATTAAAATTTTTTGACAGGGATATACTGTGTACTTCATATTATACCATATTTTGTTGCATCAGATGCTGTATCAGTTTGTTTTGTTAGTTTTACTGTGCTTGATCACTTGATTAATATGACTGCCACCTTTTTTTTTTTTTTTAAATACAGGTACTGTTTTCTTTTTGCATTTCAAGTAATCTGTGGGGTACTTGGTACCACTGGACTATTTTCAACAGCCTTTCACTTAATTGTTTTAATAATCATTGGTATTCCTTGCTTTATCCTTTATTTCACTGGGGATTGTAAAATGATGAATTTCTAATTCTTTCATTCCTTCTGTACTTATTAGCTGACTTTTCTTTTGAAAGAAGAATTGTCTCTCAATAAGTAGGGGCCAAGTTTCTCCTTAAAGGCGGTATCAGGGATTAATTTTTTCCTATAAGTACCAGCTTACAGAGGAAGGAGATGGTGTCACATTAGCATGCATTTTAAATTATTTCCAGATTAAAGGCAATGCATTTTTTAAACTTTTTGTAAATATGACATATAGTGTACTAAAAATCTTTATGAAAGCAAATTATCACATCTTTCTCCTCCCGTCCAAGTACTAACCAAGCCGAACCCTGCTTAGCTTCTGAAATCAGACAGTATCGGGGTACATTAAGGGTGGTATGGCTATAGACACATCTTTGTCTTGTGGAGTGGCTGGTGGGTTCAAACCACTGACTTCTTGGTCAGTAGCCAAGCACTTAACTACTGTGCCATCAGAGCTCATTTGCTTTAAAAATACAAGGGTAATTAGCTTTTAATGTGTTCATGCAATGGATTCAGAGATGTTAATGGCTGTTTGAGATGAATAATCAGACATCTTTGTTTTTTCTGTTTTACTTTTTTTTGTTGTTGTTTCTGTATATCCACTGGTGAAAATGATAAAATATTGAAGACTTAGTAATATCAGAGAGGTGTGAGGAGTTCACATACCTACTAAACATCCTAGAAAGATTATCTTTCAAGAGTAGTTTTGATAGTTTTATTTTATGGACACCATGTTGTTAGTTATCATCAAGTTAATTCCAACTCATTGTGACCCCATGTGTGCATAGTAGAACTGTGCTCTATAGGGTTTCAAGGCTATATTCTTTTGGAAGCAGATTGCCAGGCTTATCTTCTGATGTGCCTCCATTGGGTTTGGACTGCCAGGCTTTTGTCTAGTAATTGAGTGCTTAACTGTTGGCACCACCCACAGAATTCTTTTCAGACATAATTATTTTAAAAAACATTTCTGCTCTGCATCTGTCAGTAGTGTAGTGCCTAAGGCATTTGACTGCTAACCAGAAGGCTGGCAGTTCAAACCCACCAGTCACTCCTCAGAAGGAAGGTTGGGCAATCTACTTCCATAGTGCTACTGCCTCGGAAACCCAGGGAGGGGTTGCTGTGAGTCAGATCTGACTCCACGGCAGTGAGTTTGGTTTTTTGGTTGGTATGATAAATTAATTGCCTTTTAGAATAATTAATATGAGTTGAGAATGCTTGCTTTTTTGTCTTATTTGTATATTTTTTGTTGAGCAGAGTAAACATGAAAATATCTAATGTAGAAAAAAGGAGAAACTTCTTTTTCGTTCTTCCTTTGGGCCTGAAAATACAATTACAGGCTCTGTCGGTAGGTTTCTCAAGTATTGCTACTGACTTTCAATTTGAACTCAAAACTTTTAGCAAAAAAAAAATTCTTTAATGCAATTTCTAGTTGATGCACATCGTTCTATAATCTTCGGCCACTAAAGGCTAGTGAGAGGCCTGCCTACATGCTGATGTTAGAATTGGTCAAAAGTTTGGGAAGAGGAGGTATGTCTGACCTCCACCTCATAGGAATCAGCCTTGGACTGATGCTGATGGGGATTCTCTTTCCTCCTTGTGAAGGTCAGACACTACACCATTTTTATAATGAGATAGGGGCAAGAGTGGGAATTGATTTTGACCAATTATACCTTCAAGGCTCTAGATGTATGATTTCCATGGCAAGGCTGCAGAGTTCTCTGTAGATAAGAGTCTCTCATTCTTATCATTCTGGAGTAAATATTAGATGGTGTTTTTATTTTGCACAAAACATTTGGCTTTTGAGGCAGGTGCTTCATTCAGCCTTTGCTACTAGGTACAGCTGTAGTGTATGTTCCAGAATCTAAGAAGAATTGTGATAAATTTTGTTTAAAAATTGTCTCAGTAATATAACTAGTACCCTTATGCCTGAAAATGATTTATACTTAGAAATTCAGGTTCCTAGTTCCAACAAAAACATTTTAAACTAGCGAGAGGGAAAGGATTGGGGTTACAGCTATAAATTAGGATACTGGCAACTTTATCATCTCATTTGTCTCTCCCAGTGTGGAGTGAAACTGTAAGAATGTTGCAAATGAAAAATGTTGACCCACCTTACTTTTTGAAAGATTTTACTGTTTTACCTTCTAGTCTGAGGGTCTTATAGGTAGATTGAGTATGTGTTTGAGCAATTTAGTTAGAAGTTGCCTCTCAGTTTTCACTGTTCTTGTAAAAGTAATTCATATATATTTGAATATTTTTGGAGTTTAAAACTGACAGTACTGTGTGATATGTCATTTATCAGATAACATCAGTAGACAAACTAAAGCCTCTGTGATGCTAAGTACCCCTGTGCCACAAAATTCACATAAGACTCCCCTTTTGAGCCTTGTAGCAAATTAAGAGTGTTAGATGTTGGCATAAGGTAGCAACAGCAGTGGGGAGGAATTATGAACTTGACAGTGATGAACAGCAAAACTGAGATAACTTAGTATCCTATAGTTCATAGCAGTCAAGTAGACTTTTGTAAATAATTAGAAATTACAGTAAATATTTTACTATATACAAAATATTTTAGGTCTCAAGGGTTATTCAGCTTTGATGCTGTAGCATGAAAGTAGCTATAGACAAATGAATGTGTATTGCTATATTTTAGTAAAACTTTATTTAGAAAACATTTGCCAAGCCAGATTTGATTGTGGTTTGTCAATTCCTAGTTTAGAGACAAGTAGGAGTAACTCCTTGAAGCCATCGCTTTTATACTCCTGTGTAATGTTATACCTCAGTGATCACTGAATTATGACTTATATGTTCAGTATATTTAAGAATGTTTGGAAGTTGTAACAAATTACAGAAAAATTTTTATTCTACACTGTTTTTGAAAATGTATTGCTTAGAAGATATCATTAATGGCACACCTCATTATCAGATACTGTCTGTAAAAGTCTGTTTTGTACCTTTTTTTTTTTTTTAGTGAACCATATCTTTCAATGACAATAATCTCTAATAAATAAATAAGATGGTAGTGTTGGTACACACACACAATTAGAAAAATCCTGAAATCAGCACACATAGTATCTGTTTTGAGGAAGGACATACACAGATACCTAAGTAAGGTAAATGCTAATTTTTGGTGTGCTGCTCTGAAGCCTTTAGTATATATTATCTTAAGTGAAAGGATGACTTTTCACTTGCTTTGGTTTCTAGAACTCGTCTGATTTTTCTGGTTCTCTCCTATTTTATGTTAATCCCTCTGCCTGTGAATAAAATCTCACTTGAGGAATTTTTTTTTTCCTTCAGTCTTATAAAAGGTTTAACTTGATTTGTTTTGAGTGTATACATGTAGTTACTTGTAGTTCAGACATTTGGTTGATATTTAATCAAAGAAACTGAAAATGTAACTTACTTTTTCTAAAATGTCTTAACATTATATCTCCTTCAGCTTTTATGTTTTTTGTTCTACTGTTTCTTAAATGGTCTAATACTGTGTTTGGCTATTCTAAAGGCGAACAGCTGCTTGGAGAACTACAAGTGAAGAAAAGAAAGCATTAGATCAAGCTAGTGAAGAGATTTGGAATGATTTTCGAGAAGCTGCAGAAGCACATCGACAAGTTAGAAAATATGTTATGAGCTGGATCAAGCCTGGGATGACAATGATAGAAATCTGGTAAAATTACTACATCTTTGTAAGAACATGATTTTCAAAAAAAAATTTTAGTGCTGACTTTCCAGTTGAAAAGTTAGGCTTTCATTATCACTTTGTAGAAACTTTAATATTCTAGAAATCTCTTCTAATAATGTAGATGTAACAGGGAAAGTATAAACGCAACAACAGCGTAACACACTACCATCGAGTCAGATCTGACTCATAGCGACCCCTCCTTGAGTTTTGAGGCAGTATCACTACAGAAGTAGATTGCCCAACCTTCCTTCCAAGGAGTAGCTGGTGGGTTTGAACACCAGCCCTCTCGTTAAAAGTCAAATGCCTTCGGCACTACTCCACCAGAGCTCCTGAGCCACCATATTTTGTACACAGGTATACTCATTTATACATACACATATACACATTAGACTGATGCTTATTTTCTACCTGGAAACCTGTTATTTTGCTATCTAAAATTAATTATTCAGATTAAGAAAATTCTGCAATACCTGAGTAAAACACAAAACATTTTTATAATACAATGACAAAACTAATACAAGTATTATTTAATAAGCTTTCTGCATTTGATCTGTGAGGAATATAAAGGTAAGGCTATAAAAGTAAACAAATTTCCTTTTCTTTTTATCTTAGTGAAAAGTTGGAAGACTGTTCACGCAAGCTAATAAAAGAGAATGGTTTAAATGCAGGTCTGGCATTTCCTACTGGGTGTTCTCTCAATAACTGTGCAGCCCATTATACTCCCAATGCTGGTGACACAACAGTATTACAGTATGATGACATCTGTAAGATAGACTTTGGAACACATATAAGTGGTAAGTTGTTGGAAATAATTCCTAGTCCACTCTTCCTTCCCCAAAAAGTCTAGTCTTTTTTCTGTTGGATGGAGCTATAGATACTGAACTTCCAAAATTTGTTCTTACCTCTATAGTTTGCACTATAGCTGTATTGAGGCAAATTTACTTGAAGTAATCACATTAACTATAGTAAGATGAAAGCCATTGGATAATTAAGGTTTTACTCTTTGTATCAGAGCATGAAAAATATACTCCTGCATTTCTTAATGATTCAGGTGCTTATTTCAGACATTATTGATTAGAGTAATAACCACAAACATTTATTTAGAACCTTTATATGCATATTGACTTTCCTCAAAATGAGAAATTTTTCCTCAAAAATGAGAAGAAAGTGTTGCAAACATCCATTAATAATCAGAATGTGGAATGTACAGAGTTTGAATCTAGGAAAATTGGAAGTTGTCAGAAATGAAATGGAAAGTATAAAGATAGATACCCTAGGCATTAGCTGAAATGGACAAGTGTTGAGCCCTTTGAATCAGATAATCACGTGATCTACTACGCTGGGAATGACAAAGAGAAATGGTGTTGCACTCAATGTCAGAAAGAACATTTCAAGATCTATTCTGATGCTATCAATGATAGGATAATACCTATACACCTACAATGAGGTAGATTGACACAGTGCCTATAACTGTGGACTAAGATATAGCAAGGATTGTGAGGGTGGTGCAGGACCAGGCAGTATTTTGTTCTGTTGTACATAGGATTGTTCTGAGTTGGAGCCGACTCAGCGTTACCTGACAGCAACAGCAAGGAGTCCCAGTTAATACTACTACTACTAAAATTTATACCCCACCCACTAAAGCCAAAGATGAAAACATTAAAGATTCCTACCAACTTATGCAGTCTGACATTGACCAAACATGCCTTCAGGATTCATTGGTAATTATTGGTGGTTGGAATGGGAACACTGGAAAAGAGAAGCTTTGGTACTTGGAAAATAACGGCTTTCATGACAGAAATAATTGCTGGTGACACCAGCAATCACATAATAGAGTTTTGCAAGACCAACAACTTATTCATGGAAATACCTTTTCTCAACAATGTACACAGTGCATGTGCATGTGGACCTCGCTAGATGGAATACCCAGGACTCAGATCAGCTACATCTGTGGAAAGAGGCAATGGAGAAGCTCAGTATCATCAATCAGAACAAAGCCAGGGGTATTCTGTGAAACAGACCCTCAGTTGCTCATATGCAAGTTTAATTTGAAGCTGAAGAAAATGAAAACAAGTCCATGAAAGCCAAAATATGACCTTGAATATATGCCACCTCAATTTAGGGATCATCTGAAGAATAACTTCGATTCATTGGACACCAAGACCAAAGACCAGACAGGTGGTGGGATGACATCAAGGATATCATACTTGAAGAAAGCAAAAGATCATTAAAAAGACAGGAAAGAAGGAAAAGACCAAAATCTGTCAGAAGAGACTCTGAAACTTGATCTTGAGTGGAGAGTAGCTAAAGCGAATGGAAGGAATGATGATGTAAAAGAGCTTTCAAAGGGCAGCTCAAGAAGACAAAATACTGTAATGACATGTGCAAAGACCTGAAATTAGAAAACCAAAAAGGAATAATATGCTTAGCATTTGTTGAGCTGAAAGAACTGAAGAAAAAAATGGAGCCTTGAGTTGCAACATTGAGGGATTCTGTGGGCAAGCTATTGAATGACGCAGGAAGCATCAAAAGAAGATGGAAGGAGTAAACAAGGTCACTGTACCAATAAGAATTGGTCAGCATTCAACTATTTCAGGAGGTAGCATATGATCAAGAACCAATGGTACTAAAGGAAGAAGTCCAAGCTGCACTGAAGAAGGTATTGGTAAAAAGCAAGCCTCCAGGAATTGACAGCATATCCACTGAGATGTTTCAACAAACATTCAGCACTGGAGACACTTGAATTTATGCTAAGAAATTTGGGAGACAGCTACCTGACCAACTGAGTAGAAGACATCCATATTTTACCCACTCTAAAGAGATAATCCAACAGAATGCATAAATTATTGAACAGTGTCACTGTGGAAGTTAAAGTTATATGTCAACTTGGTTGGGTGGCTTGGTTTTAAGCTGCTGGGCAGCTGGTGGTACTTAGCATTCCCCACAATGAGACTGGCATTCAGCTTCATGGTGGAATCTGCCGTGAGCAGCTGAGTAGCTACTTTAGGAATGTGGTCTGCTTCCATTATACAGGGAGAATTGGGAATTGGGAGAACATCTCAGTGGATATGCTGTCAATTCCTGGAGGCTTGCTTTTTACCAATACCTTCTTCAGTGCAGCTTGGACTTCTTCCTTTAGTATCATTGGTTCTTGATCATATGCTACCTCCTGAAATAGTTGAACGCTGACCAATTCTTATTGGTACTTTGGGAATGGTCTGCAGCTTTTGGCATGCTTGAATCCTGCATGTACTTGAGTCCTCATTCAGCAGCATGTCATGTGGTCTGCTGATCTTGGGACTGTTAATGGGCTTGAATCAGTGGCCTGCCATGTGATTTGGTAATATTGGAGCTGTGCCTTTTCACTTGTCGACCATGGGCTTGTCAGCCTTAGCAGCCAGCAGCTGCCTGAGTGAAAAAAACCTCCAGCTTCAGAGGACTGGGAGCATGAGATAGAGCTGAAGCCCAAAGTTGAGGGCTTTCACCCAGCCCCTAGAGCCTGGCACTTTGCATTCGGACTTCTAGCCTCCAAAACTATAAGAGAATAACTTCCTGTTTGTTACAGCCATCCACTTGTAGTATTTCTATTAAGAGTGGCACAAAGTAACCAAAAACAATTACTGATATCAAGTGCAAGTTAACTTTTCCTGAAAATAATTCAAAAACAGTTGCCATCCAGTTGAAATTCAGTCTGGATTCAGAAGAGGGTGTGGAATGAGGGTTATTATCACTGATATCCGATGGCTCATGGTTGAAAGCAAACAGTACAAGAAAGATGTTTACTTGTATTGTGTTGTATCCAAATTTTGGATAACATTGCAAAAATGGGAATTTCAGAACACTTAATTGTACTCATGAGGAACCTGTACCTAGACCAAGAGGCAGTTGTTCCAACAGAACAAAGGGATTTAAAATCAGGAAAGTGTGTCAGGGTTGTATTCTTTCTCCATAGTTACTCAATCTGTATGCCGAGCATATAATCTGAGAAGCTAGTTTGTGGAAGAACACGGCATCAGGATTGGAGGAACAACCTGGGATATGCAGATGGTAACATTGCTTGCTGGAAGTGAAGAAGACTTGTAGCACTTACTGATGAAGGTCAAAGACTACAGCCTTCAGTATGGTTTACAACTCAACATACATAAAGATAAGAAAAATCTTCACAACTGGACCAATAAACAGCATCTTGATAAATTGAGAAAAGGTTGACGTTGTCAGGGATTTCATGTTACTTGAATCCAGTCAGTGTCCATGAAAATAGCGGTCAAGAAATCAAATGATGTGTTACTTTACAAACATGCTGTAAAAGACCTCTTTAAGGTGTTAAAGAGCCAAGATGTGTCTTCAAAGATTAAGATACACTGATCTAAGCCAGTGAGGTGCCTTTTTAATAGCCTCATATACATGAGAAAGCTAGGAAATAAGATGGCAGAAGGATTGATGCATTTGAATTATGGTGTTGGTGAAGAATATTGAATGTACCATGGACTGTTGTAGAAGAATGAACAAACCTGTCTTAGAAGAAGTATAGCTGGAAAGTCTCTTAAAAGTGAGAATGGCCAGACTTTGTCTCTTATACTTTGGTCATTCCCAAATGACCAAAGGACCATTCCCTAGAGAAGATCATGCTTGGTAAAATAGAGGGTCAGTGAAGAAGGGGAAAACCCTCAATGAGATGGATTGATGCAGTGGCTGCAACAGTGAGCTCAGACATTGTAAGGATGGTGCAGAACTGGGCAGGGTTTCAACCATTGTACATACCAAATCAAAACCAAACTCACTGACCTCGAGTCAGTTTTCACTCATAGTGACGCCCTTTGGGTTTCCAAGGCTGTAAATCTTTACAGAACCAACCTGCCTCATCTGTCTTCCATGAAGCAGCTGATGGGTTTGAACCCCGACCTTTTGGTTACAACCCAAATGCCTTAACCAGTACACCACCAGAGCACCTTCTTTTGTTCATAGGGTCGCTATTACTAGGATACAACTTCATAGCACCTGGCAACAACAACTTTTCTAAGTTCTCCGCAAAACCCTGTTAGCTAAGTACCTTGTTATTGTCACTTAACAGGTGAGAAAGCATACATAGATTCAGGAATTGAAGAAGCTAGGATTGGTGTTTCGGGTCCTATGGTCCTATACATTTTCTCTGCCCTACTGTCTTAATTCCTAGGGTTGCAGTAAGAAAATAGCACAAGTATGTGGCTTTAAAGAACAAAAGTTTATTTTCTCGCAGTTAGAGTCTGGAAGTGTCTACCATGCTGTTTCCTTCTGCATACATTGCGAGAGGAGCTGTTCTATGCCTCTGTTCTAGCTTCTGTTTTTTTGCCGGCGATCTTTAACGTTCCTTTGCTCCTCATAGATGTGTTTTTTACATGGTATCTTCCCCTGTGTGTCACTTTCTGTGTCTGTTTTTGACACCATTCGGAAGAGATTAGGACATACTCTACTCCAGAATTAAACTGGTAACATCTAGAAAGAAAAATCTTATTTCTACAAGCAAGGTCACATTCACAGATACAGGGATTAGCATTTCAAGATATCTTGGTACACAGTTTGATTCAAAGCACCTATGTTCCTGTTCCTTAGTTCCTCAGTCTTTTCTTGCTTTGATTTGTTCTTATCTTTTCTCATGATTACATGAGTTCTGAATTGATATTACCTTGGAATAATAATGGAATTGTTATTCCAATACCTTGGAATTGTTCTCTTCATCTAAAACCTTTATATAATTTATACCTTTTTGCCCTTTGATTAAAATGATCTCTGGGTACTTAGGATACTTCCTCGTTTGAGGTAGTCATTTCATTTTTCCTGTTAGCTAGCAAAGTTAATTAATAGAGCAAATGCTATAAAGTAGATGAATTACCTACCTGATAAGTTAACTTAAGAAATTTTCTCTTTCAGGTAGGATTATTGACTGTGCTTTTACTGTCACTTTTAATCCCAAGTACGATATGTTATTAAAAGCTGTAAAAGATGCCACTAACACTGGAATAAAGGTATGTGAACTGTAAGCACCATTACATTCAACATATTTTAAGCATTTATATTTTGTTTGAGGAGCTCTGGTAGCATAGGGCCTAAGGCACTTGACTGCTAACCAGAATACTGGTGGTTCAAACCCACCAGCCACTCCTCAGGGAAGGTTGAGCAATCCTACTTCTGTAGTGATACTGCCTCAGAAACCCAAGGAGGGGTCGCTGTGAGTTGGGGCTGACTCGACGGCACATAACAACAACAGCATATTTTGTTTAAGGTCTTTGGACTATTAAGGTGAGTAAGACCTGCTCCCATGTTCTTAAAGTATTAAGTGGGTATGTAATATAGTGTACCAAGGGCTTTTATAGAGGAAGTTCTGATGTACACAGGAGTTTTTCTAATTGTCTTATTATTTTAAAATATTAAGGAAGAAATTACGTTTCTGTAAACTTCTGCACTTTGGGTACAAAGTCTACATAATTTTGTTTTTAGTGTGCTGGAATTGATGTTCGTCTGTGTGATGTTGGTGAGGCCATCCAAGAAGTTATGGAATCTTATGAAGTTGAAATAGATGGGAAGACATACCAAGGTATGCTCTTTAAAAATTCATACTGTTTTTGAAGTGCATGTGACTTCTGCAGAATTAGTTATAAATTACATTTGAAGGCTTTCTTTGTGTCAGCTGCTTCATCTTTATTACTTGAGGATATAAAGAAACAAAATGGTATCTGACCTGTGCAGAGCATTTTAAGAGTACTGTGGTCACTAGCTGGGAACTGTTGCCAAGTTATTCTGGTGGCTAAAAATAGGTGGCGTAGTACCTAAGGCTCTTGACTGCTAACCACAAGGTTGGTGGTTCAAACCCACCAGCCACTCCTCGGAAAGAAGGCTGGGCAATCACTTCCATAGAGATACCGCCTTGGAAACCTAAAGAGGGGTCACTGTGAGTCAGAGACTACTCGACGGCACCTAACAGGGGGCCAAAGTGCAGTGTAGCCAGATCTAGGCTTAGAGAGAAACTAGAGGCTCTTTCTAGTGATGACTCCCCAGTTTTTTGGGGGTAGGGTGTAGATAAGGAGTTGAATTTAGAATTTGAAAGCCATTCTGTTCCTTTAATCCCTCTCAGTTCCTTTTGCTTCCTAGCTTTCCCATCCTGCTGCCTTGGGGATACATTCCCCCAGGGATACCATCCTCCTTTCCTGATCTGTGCTCATTGCTCTTTGTTACCCTTGCACTAATAACTTATTTACAGGTTATTTCCTACATTTCACATAACTGTATTCTGTCTCTTTTTTATAGTCTTTAGAGTAGAGACTTTCACCCTGCTTCCTTGACATGCAATAAACTACTGTCATTCAGCAATCTGCATTCTTCTGTTGCCACTTTAATAGACTTCTAAGTGCAAAAGTAGCTTTTCCTCTGAGAACTGACATTGCCTGTTCTTGTTGCTCTGATTTCTGAAGTCCATTCTGACTGACTCCTGCTAACATCCTAACTTCTGTTGGCTTGCTAGGTCACTTCAATATCTGTATACGTAATCAAGTTATCACCGAGGCATCACTAGTGCTTGACCACTTCGTCCGTTTTTGCCTCATCTTCCTATGTCCACATACTGAAATTTAACACCATTTTATTTTCTTAAACAATTGCCATTCTTTTTATTTCCAGCTATTTATTTTTTTAGATCAAGACTTCAGTTCCCTTGATTTTTTTCTTTTCCCCATTGTGCCACTCTGTCACGGCTTCATTTCCCTTATTCCTTAAAGCCTTTGTCAACAGCTCTGTCATCTGTATATTTAGCTTCATTATTGCTTTGATTTTTAGATATTATTCTCTTGCAGATCCCCAGTTCTGTGAGTATCAGTGCAAACCAGAAATACTGTAAGGCTGCTCAAACTCAAGTAGGAAGTTTTGTGGGATGATATAAATAACACTCTTTAGGGTCAAGCATGTCTGACTTTTAGCTTTATAATCTTTAAGACCCCCAGTATCTTTGATTAATGATTGATGAATAGTGCCTAGGATTAATGATGTCATATGGGTTTTTTTTTTTTTTTTGAGAAATGTGAACTATATGACAGTGCTTGGAGTGTATTGGGTATTATACACCTATTTCTCTCTCTTACCTCCAGTTTTGTTTGAGATTGGTGCCACAACAGTTTACTTCAGATTTTAGCTGGGCCCACAATTTATAGTGCTCATTCAAGTCCTTCTCTTAAGTCCTGTTTCCTTTCTCTTAGAAAATTGATTATTTGGTAAGGAAAATAACGAAACAAGCCTGAAATCCCTTAAGTTTTGCCATGTTGCTAAAAGAAATCCTTAACCTCTTACCTATTATTGCCAGTTTCTCTCTGTTCTTCAGTGAAGAAGAATCCTTTATTCTATTCAAGGTGAATCCTTCCATCTCCTGGGACATTTACCCTTTGTTGTTATTATATATTGTTACACATAGCAATCCTGTGTATAACAGATTGAAACACTGCCTGGTCCTATGCCATCTTCATAATCCTTGCTATACTCAGCCTATTGTTGCAGCCACTCTGTCAATCCATCTCATAGAAGGTCTTCCCCTTTGCTCATCCTCTACTTTATCAAGCATGGTATCTTTCTACAGGGACTGGTTCCTTCTGACAACATGACCAAAGTAGGTGAGATGAAATCAGGCCATTCTCACTTCTAAGGAGATTCTGGCCGTACTTCTTCTAGTACAGATTTATTCATTCTTCTGGTAATTCATGGTGTTTTCAGTATTCTTCTCTAACAATACAATTCAAAGGCATTGACTCTTCTGCAGTCTTCCTTATTCATTGTCCAGCTTTCACATGCATATGAGATAATTGAAAATATCATAAGTTAGGCACATCTTAATCTTAAAACTGACATGTTTACTTTTTAACACTTTAAAGAAGTCCTTGCAAGAGATTTGCCCAGTGCGATATGTCACCTGATTTCTTAACTGCTGCTTCCCTGGGTGTTGATTGTGGATCCAACTGAAATGAAATCTTTGACAACTTTAATCTTTTTGCTATTTGTTATGATGTTGCATATATCTCCTGGATATTTACCCCTTTTTCTACATATTCACTCTTTCCCCGATGGCTCCTTGCAGTATGAAAGCATGTGTGGAAGAAAATGAGAACATTGTAGCACTGTATTGCTTCTCATAATTTACATGTTCTGTTTTATTTTTTATTGTGTGAAATTTTTAATATTTTCACATGAAAGACAGAGAGCTTAAGTTTGCTTGTGTCCATTAGTAAGGGTGAGCCTACTGTTCCCATGTGTTCAAAGCCAAAGCCATGGAGAAGCAAACAAAATTTTCAAAGGCAAGAAAATACCATGTCCCATTTCTAGCTTGCTTTTTTTTCCCTTTTTTTTTTTTTTTTAATTGTGATTTGGGTGAAGATTTACAGAGCAAATTCACTCTCGATACAGCAGTTCACATATACTTTGTCTCATGCCATTGACCACAGTTTACCACAATGCAACAGCTCCCCTCCAACTTCCTCCCCATAGTACCACTTGCCAGTGTCCATCCCTCCATACTCTCCTGCCCCCTAAGCTGTCTCCCAGTGCATAAGCTGCCCTTCCTTCTCCCATGATTGTTCTCTCGAGGGCATGTGTCTACTTGAGGTAAATGTTTAACTCACATGCCTGTACTTTGTTTGGCTGGAAA